AGGGTTTTTCTGAATTTGTTTTGCATTTGCCCCACCCCTAGAGCGGAGCCCAGCGGGCGACCGCAGGAGGCGGAGTTTCCGTTGCTTCGCGCCTTTTTCGGACGTGCGCGGCTTCTGCGTTACCAGGAACTGCTCCCGATTCCTTTTGCAAGGCGCCCCCAGCATTTTTCCTCTCACCAAAGTGAGAGTACCCATTTATCTACTCAAGTAAGTTTTCCATCTGCTGGGTTGACAGGAGCTGGGGGGAGGAAGCAGGAGCTCACTCTGCTGCGCGAAAGTTGAGCTCGAACCGCTGAAGTGTCGATGATTTCTGGCCGGCAACTTTCAGCGTACTTGGTTTTATGCTTTATGTAACCCACTAAGAGTCTCAGGACAGAAAAGTGGAAAATAAATAAATACTTTCCACTCCCCTTTTTTAAAAAATCAGAATTAACCAGAACCTAGTGCAAAGCCACACATCGCTGTCTTTGTGACATAAGGCAGCATTTTCTTAGAAGGACCATACTGCATCTGCAGAGTTCAGTCCATTCAGAAAATACAACTTAACAGCCATTTGGGGGGTTCTGGAGGGAGCATGACATTTGAGATTTGTTGTTTTCATCGTTTTTCATTCCTTTTTTGTTTAACATGGCAAACTAAAAATACATAACTTTTTGAAAGGAAAATAGAGAACTAAAACAAAACCAAACCAAAAAGACAGAGAGAGAGAGAGAGAAAGGTGTGTGTTGTGGGTGGGTGGGTTATATTACATGGGCAATCTTAAGGAGAGATCTCTACATTCGAAGTTCCATATTCAATATTCCTAAAATTTTATTAGAACAGACAATGGTAGTCTTGGTTAATCTAGTCAAGACTAGAGAGCCAAATGTGAAAAACCTGTCCTTTAATAGCAGGGTTCATTAAAGTTCTTTGGCTGTTGTTTTAGTCAGAACTCTGATTTTGGAATTTCATTTCTGTCTCAGGCATAGAGTTGAATCTGGCAGCCTCCAATTCAGTCTAAGTTGAAATGGCTATTTGCCAAATGGCCAGGTTGGACCTGAATCATATCTTGTGCTGGCGATGCAAATCCCTATCTTAATTGAGGTGCAGGTCAGAATGTTTTGACACAGCAAATCTGCTCTCCACACCTGAGTGTGTGTCATGTTATGAAAGAATATACAACTTGATCTAGGCATATCTACAGGGAGTCCGATAGAACTACTTTTGTGTGTACGTTGTACTATAGCTGTGTGATGTAAGGCTTTGGTTGCCTGGTTTGTTAGCATAAGATATCTTTGGCCTTAAATCTCACTTTCCAAATTAAATGTGGCGTGTATCTTTTTTTACAGACAGCAAAACCCATAATTATGTAAAGAATGCACTTTTTACCAGTGTAAATATTGTTTTAGTTTGATGGGTGCTAGATACAATGGTCTTCCTTAGGCCTAAACTATGAAACAAAAGCTTAATTATGCTGCAAAACCCAAGATGGGAAATGATAAAAAGGCACATTGAGAAGAGAGCTTTGTTAAAAAGTAGCTGGTATACTTGTAAAATTTCCAGGTATTCATTCAGTGATGATGTCATGCCGATTTCCAAGTGGCGTAAAGGGTACAGCTTGGTTTGCCATTCAGCAGCTGAGTCCTTTTGACAGCACAGAGGTTCCTCAGAGGGGTCCTGCAAGTGGTGCAAGAGGCAGGAGGAGAATCAGGAGCAGGGACTTCCTTAACATCTGCCTTCTTGCCTCTTCATGGACATCAGTGGCGGCAAAAACGTGGGGGATGCATTGCCCACTTTTCAACAGGAAGAGGGAGACGATGCTCCTTGTGGACTTCTCGGTGGCATTTGTTTGGCCCCTGAGGGAGCAGAAGCTTGGTGGGGGGAGGGGGGAACTTTGGTCATTTCCAGCAAATCTGTTTTATAGTTGTACACCCTGTTACACCAAGTGCATGATGCCTGCCGGAAGCTGAGATTGTAACACGGGCAAAGTGCTTGTCCAGACTAGTATTCTGATTCATTAATACCTTAACGGCATTTGCTCTCTTGACTCAGAGTTTTCTGGTGTGTTTTTCTTATTTTGTAAGTGAATGAAAGTGTCACCCTTTTCATCTTACACGGAAGGCTTGGATTTTAAGTTTTCTTTGAGTTGACTGCAAAATAGGCAACTGGTGGAGCAGCGGTCGAGGAGAAGCCTCTTAAACCGAGTGGGGGATTGCATCCTGATGTCAGATTTTGGACGTCACTCGATGGGGATTGGAGGTGGTGGCAGGTTTTGGTGATTGGTTCTTCTCAATCTGGAGGGCTTCATTGCAAGAATGGCTGTGCACTTCTTTGCCACAAAGAAGGCTTCCCTGATTAAAACTCCAGTAACATGTCTCCTTAGAAATGTTATCGCTCAGAGGATAGGAACAAGGACAGACAGGGCGGTTGCTGTTGCCTGACATAGTTCAGGTATTGTTTAAGCAAAATGTACACTATTTTTAGGTGCTTCAAGTAGATCTTGCCAACTTCCTCTGTGATTTCATCTGGCCTCCAACTCTCTGGCGAGCTGCGGGTCATATGGGCCACTTTGGGAGGCGCCTTTCTCGGAATGCATTTGGACACTCCAGAACTGGTATTTTGAGGTCTGAATACATGAAACAAAGCACGTGCCAATGCTCTTCCAGAGACATTTCTTTTGGGCTTCTGCTTTGCTGGGAGAGTGATAGATACTCCCTGAGGTTTGAGTGGAACTGCTTCCTCCCTGATCCAGTGAGATCATTTTAGTTTCACCCTCTATTCTATTCAGAAGATGGGGACGGGGATCCCCAAAGAAAGTGCACTGTAAATAAACCATTATCTGCTTCAGAAACAGGTTGAAAAGGCATTGAGCCATTCTGGAAGCCAGGCAGATATCAGTTCTACTTGATGGTTTGTGTGATGCCCATGTGATGATCCCACAACATCTGTGCATTAATATTATTTTCTCACTTCCATAGTGCTGCCTCTCCTAAACAGGCCCACATAGCCTTGTACAGAGTTACAAGGTTCCTTCAGAATTCCTTTGTGAAGGCTGTTGTGTCTGCCCGATGGAATCCCCCCCAGCTCCCTCAGAGGTCTGGATTGCCCTGAAGACTGGGCTGTTCCCTCGGGCACAAGGCAGCATGTTGGGAGAACTGTCAGGATATGCACGTGGCGAATTTTGATCCTGATGCTGTTGGTGTGTGTTTGTGGCTTTCTCGTGCTATTTCCTTTTTTTGGCTGGATGATGATGCTTTTAACGCTGTCAGTGGCCTAGAGCTGCTTGGTGAGTGAGCAGCTGTACAGATTGAATAAATGCATGAATGAATATAGAATTGCATCAGTAAGGGACGTGATATGATTGAATTCTGTGCATCGGTTTTTTCTGCATTGGCTGCATTTCTGTATTTGTGCGCTTGTCACAGCTTTTCTCACCAGAAGACATGAAGTGGAAGTTGGGAGTCTGATCTCGTGCTTCTGAGCCAGGCTGCTCTCTTTGAACTGCACTGGTCTTCTAAGCCCCGTTATTTCTTCAGGGTAGGAAGTTGTTCCATGAACCAGGACATATCTTCTTCGGAAGTGTTTCTGTGAATGTCAAGTTTGAATCCTTGGCAGTGGTGTCTTCTGACACATAGAAAGGCTTACCACTTGAGCTTTTCAGCCTGCTAACACCTCATTCGTATGTTTCTGAGAGAGCGGATTGAGAGAATGCTTTCCAGTAATGGTGAGAAGTCATGTCATATGTTGCATGCAGACCTCCCTGCTAATGGTGAGGACACGAGAACTGTCATTCTTGGCACATTTTGGCCAGTCTGCTACATGTCTAGCCGAAGCCGTTTTCCCCCAAATCTCATTCTATTCTATAGAAGCTAAGGTCTCTTAGCTAAAGATGAACTTGCAAGCCAATGTACTTTTTCTGATATCTGACCAACCAAGAGACACATGTACCGACTGAGCATCTGCCTATTTTATTGTGTGGAAATAAGAATTGGGTAAACAAAAATGAGTTCAGT